GGGGGGGGGCAGTGCATAAGAACAATGAAATTGCTTAGGAAAGAACTGCCAAGGGGTCCCAGGGGGACAGAGAGGCTAGAAGGAGAGAGTGGTGATGAACTTGGAAAGAACACTGGGAGAAGAGTCCAGAAACTTGGCTCTCCCATTCACAGCCACTTTGAGTTCCTTACTCCATACTAATCCCAGCAGTGAATGGAGTGGGACCAAGGTCTCTTCCATACCCAAGACGTTGCAATTTTACCCTGCACAGCCATAGACCTATGGGGACACTCCAAATTGGATCGTGTAACATACAGAATTATTTTTCTGAGGGAGAGGGGAATCATAACCCAAATGAGTCCTTAAAAGTACCTCTCTCTCCTTCAAATTTGAAAGATGGAGAAATTTACCTGGTCTAAAATCCATTCTCCACCTGCAGCCCTGGGAAATTCTACTAATGCCAGAGTTTGGAGGAAATGCAAATTCTTGAGCCCTGCCAATGGAATCAGGGCTCCAGGGTGGGGCCCAGCTCTATGGCTTTTACCAAACCCTCCTGGTGGTTCTGATGGGAGTAGGCTTGGTCTACTCTAGGTACTAATCCCATCAACTGCCCAGACCTTAGAGCCTATTATTCCATATTTAAAGGGATTTTCCCTTACACTTTTACTCTTAGTCACTTAAGAACAGGCACTGGCTGCATTTTATTGATCCACACAACCCAAATGCCTAGTACAGTGCCCAGGACATAACCAATGCTCAACAGATGTTGGTTGACTGAATTACTAAGTGAATCAGCCAACCCAGTCCGGGCTTTCTGGCATCATCCATCCCTCCCATCCGCTTTGTTCACAGAGTGCACACAAGCCATCCTCACCCTGACTGCTGCTTTCCACGGTGGAACTGAGAGAGCCCTTGGCACAACTAATAGTAGTCAAAAGATTTGAACTGTAGACCTAGTTCAGCCACTTAGGAGTCCTCAAAGGCCCTATTTCAGCCTGTGTCTCATCAAGAAAATGGGGAAAAAAATATCTTCATGATCTTCCTCATTAGGTTAAGTTTTTTAATCTTTTTCAATGGCACTACATGCTCTTGGAAATTTTTTTTTAAAATAACACATGAATCTCATCACAAATATAGTAAGGTCCACGGTCTCATCCCTGACCTTTCCCAAACTCCACCAGAATTCTTCATCCTGAGCCCAGCCTCAGCTCCATACTCTGCAAGTCCCTATAAGGTCAGGCACTTCTTTCACCTTTACGTGTAGAAGGTACTGTCTGACTATATAATCCTCAGGTCAGAACCTTTCCCCTCAAAACTCTGTAGAATGTCTTCTAGCATTTGAAATAATAGAAGAGAAAAGGGAAGCTGGCCTGGTTTTGTTTATTTTGTAGGCAACTTACTTCAATGTTATCCTTGAAGATATTTTTCATCATAATGGAATTTTATTAATGGCAAAGTGAGTATAGTATGGATCTTGCTCTTTTTATTTTTTCTGGGACACAAGCTTTTTGGATCTGTAGATGCATGTTCCTTCTAGTTTAGGAATGTCCCCTTCAATCATTCTTTTCACTATTTCTTCTATTCAATGGACCACGCTTCTGTCCAAATTTGTCCTCTACTCAGTTATAACTCTCAGCACTGTTCTCCATTTCTCTCATTCTCTCTTTCACTGTGTTTACTTCTTTATTTTTCATTGTGGGAGAGTTCACCCTAATCTAGCCCCCCGAATATCAATTTAATTCTATTCTGCTCCTCCCTTTGACTTCATTGACTATGGATTTTCTGCTATTGCACAGTTTTGTATCCCTGCGACCTTTCTTTACTTTATTAATCTTCCTTTCAGCTGATTCTGATGCTTTTTCATCTAAGAACACTCCCTCCTCATTACTTTATGTTCCTGTGCCACCAGGGTTATGCTTCTTCCTGTTGCAGATGTCTGGTAACTTTCTCAAAGTCTGCTTTTGCTCTTATAGTAAATAATTATCCTGATACTGTTTCTCTTACTGTATTTGCAGTGTTTTCCCCCCTAGGGTCTCGTGTTGGATTCTTTCTCTTTACTCTTGCTCTAATGAAGAGAGTCATCCAGGATCATCTTGGCCTACAGAAAAAGCGCTGGTCTCCTTCTCATTCTGCCTTCCATCCATCCTGAAACCAGTCAAGTCCTCCTCTCAGATCTGTTGCTGTTAACAGCCATCCAATCACCTCATTTCCTAGTGAACAGTGATAGTGGTGTGCTGAAGCCAGACCCAGGAGCTCCTGAGAGCCTACCATGTGAGTCTCTTCCCAGCTCCACATTCAGTGGTGTCAAGATGGTAGTTTGAAAACTGTCCATGGTAGGAATATTTACACCACAAGAATCACCACACTTAAATCAGGGCTTTAAAAATATCTGGAAGATAAGGTGTTGAGCATTTACAAGGCTACTATGGATAGTAGACATCTATCTACTATTGTTTTGCTAGACTAAGAGGGGATCCTTCTGCTGTATTCTTTAAACTCTGAAAGGCTGAAATTCACAATATGCACTAATTACAAAGACTCTTTATGTCTGTGTCTCAGAGCTTTATTCCAGGAAACTTCTCTGCTCAGAAGTCAATGTCCCTCTTCTCCTCTCAGATCTCTCTCCTCCAGTCTTGCCCATTTGTTTTCTGAGAGCTGTAGACTTTGAGAATACATGTAATAATGTTAGTGAAGAGATCATCTTTAGTTGTTTTATAAACATTGCTCAAGCAGAAGATCTGATGACCTCCTGTTTTCCTGGTTGACAGAAATTGTGAGTTTCTGATCCTAGGGGGCAAAGGGTATGAAAGGATGGAGTATGAGCTTACCTGACTACAGATAGGGAAACAACTGTATTTCCAACCTAGGCTCACTGACCTATAGTTATGAGAATCTAATCTCAGATTCTGCCAATAGATTGTCTGACTTTGGCTTTGGTGGTGATTGAGCACTCATCTTTCTGTATGTCTTCTAAGGTATTTTGGTGGGGAGTCAGAAGTGGCTTTCCTACTTGTGGTACTTTGCATTTCTCTGGAATCCTCTTCCTGTCCCCTTGAGTTAATGCCTCTTCATTACTCAAGCCCAGGTCAAACTGCACTTCCCTGAGCTTCACAACGCAGATCAGGAATCCCTGCTTTGTGCCCTGATTGCATGGGATTTTCTTTCCTAGCACTATGTTTTATAATGAATCCATGTGCCACTCTTGGTTTCAATGCTGCCTACCTCACTAGAAGGTAAGCCCTGAGGGTAGGAGCTGTGCCTGTTTGGCTCACCACAGAATGCCCAGAGCCTGGCACAGCTCCTGATCCATGGAGCAACACTCCGAATTATTCGCTGATTGAATGCTGAATGAGAGGCTGTGTCAAAGGCCAGCCAGGCGCCATCTGACTCAGGTTCCCATGACTCTGAATGATGGGTCTCTGAAATCCTTCCCGCTGCAGAAACACCAAGAGGAAATGCTCCATAAACACTGATAAATCGATCAAGTGACCCAACCCTTACCCAGCTCTCAATCAGCCAGGGCAACAGCAGCTCTGCACCACGGTTCTCTGACCCTGCAAACACACCCATGGTCTACAGCAAAGAATGAAACTCAGACTCAAGGCTTTTTTATACAACACACCTGGGTGGTACCTTCCTGGTCCCAGGTCACCTCCTCCGAGTTGTGATCCTTGAGAATTGCACCCACCACATTCCCTAGAAGCTTCTCCTGAGCTGCAGCTCCCCCAAGTCCTACCGATTTGCATCACCTCATGAATCCCTGCTACTTCCTCTGGCTGGCCTGCTATTCCTCCTTTCTCCACATGGTTACCTCTAAGTCACCCTTCAAGAGCTGGGTCAAGTTTCACCCCCTTCATGAAGACTGGCTGGACCTTCCTTTTCTACTCCTTCCCCCTTGTGTGTACACATGTGCATACATGTGCTCTCGCATGCTTGCACACACACACACACACACACACACACACACACACACTTTCACAGATGGTCTTGTTCAAACTTCCCCGGGCATTCTGCTAGCAAAGCATTTGGCAAACTGCACTGCAATGTTCCATTTCTGTATTTATCTCTCCCACCCGACCAGGACTTCCACGAGAGAAGGGCTGGGCTTCACAAGTCTCTACCCCAGTTCAGGGCACAGTGAGCACATGCTGTAAGCGTCCAACAGCAAGCATCCAAGCCATGTATGTTTCTCCTTGAAAAGACCAATGGAAATAGCACCGCTTTGATGTTACAGATTTGGATTACTTGGTATTTCTTTTTCACTAGGTAATTGTGTTCTTGGAAAATATATTTAAACTGTTCAAGTTTCATTTGGAAATTGAGTAATAATCCTACCTCAAGGCTGTTTTGAAAGTAATTGAAGATTAAA